CATTAGATCGCGGTCCGATACCGCCGAGAACCCTCCCACACGCCGGCCATCTGGGAATGAATCTGTTGAACTGCACCCAGCAGCTCATGCGGCATCCCAAAGCTAAACTCAGTCTCTGCCCGTTTCCAATCAATCAACTAAGAAATTTGCAATTTAATTTTCCCGCCAGCAACGCCCGCAACTCTTGGTTATGTTAACCCCACCAGCATTCTGCCAATAAGCTTGGCCCATGTGACAAATGCCAGCTTTGAATACAGATGCACACAGAAAAATTCTTTTAAAGGAAAATACAATAAGCAAGCTACAGTAATTACAATTTGTGTATTACCATAAATAAATAATAATAAATAAAGCCCTATTTAATTTTCGAGTAATAAAGATATCTAGTAGGATAATAAAGTATAATATTGATTAAGTTTTGAATGTATTATTTATAACTAATTTAAAATCTTGCATGATATTCTTAAAAATTCAAGAACTCAAAATTGTACTCCTTCAACATTTGGATTTCCGATTAGCACATGTTTAACATCTAGATTTTTTGTACGTGTACAGTAAAGATAAGATACTTATAGATGCAGTGAACCGCCTTCTTTGCGAGGCCCCTTGGCCCGGCTCATTCGTCAGCTACACCCTAATAATATGTTGGCCAAAGTCCCTGCTTGTAATTTTCGTAATTCCACGTTAGGGTGGCCCCTGTTCATGAAACCAAATTGAATTGAATGTCCGCGACCACTCAACACGATCCGAAGCAAAATCCCAAAGAGAATAACTGCCTGATCATGGCCAGCGATTCCATCGGATTCGATTATAACTGTTGCAGTTAGCTTTACATTTTATCTGTAGCAATAATTGAAGCCAATTAAATTCATAAATTTTAATGATTTATTTTAGCTTTGCAGCGTGCAAACACGTTGAATTAATTTTTGAATGGCGTTGAACAGGGTGTTTTCTCGTTTCTTATGGGAAATAATTGCGGTTCTAAATTTAGGCATTTAGTGGATAATAAAAACTTAAAAACTTAATTCACGTTCGATTAACCTTGTACCTTTTAAAAGACATCATGAGATAAAATAATAACACCCTGCAGCCAAGAAATTCTTGCTTCTCGCACCATAAACTTATTTGTCTTATGGGCAACAACTCGCCAAGCAATTAACATTTTTAATTCACCGCAAATATTCGAAGCAACAATTTGTGTAAGAACAAAAAACACGAAATCGAGGCGAAGAATGAAATCGACAAATGCTATTGGTTTTGCAAATGCCTTCAATTAGCCGTTCCCAAGAGGGCACTTACACCCGCGAGCGCGCCGATTGCATCCGCTTGGCCAAAAGTCACTCAACGCTTCACTGCTCCGCTGGGCAAAGCAGGGCAGACCGTCTGAATGGCCAGCAGTCATAGCCAAGCCAACTGACTGAAGAATTTCAATGCCAAAAGAGCACGGTGGGACGAGTTTGGGAGAGAATTACTTATCAAAACATCTTGTTTCCGGAATGTAGTGGTTCAAAGATCTTTCTTAAAAAGAAAAAAAGAATACTATTTGTTAAATTGACACATAAAATATTTTATAAATATACACATATGGAATGGATTAACTACTTTTAACCGAAACATATTAGGTTATTATAACTTATATGTACAATTCGTAAGAAACGGCTAGTTGGAGTTCGTTTAAAGATTGTATTGTTTGATAGATAATATATTCATTAATATTTCTCTTTAATGTTGGTTAAATACAATATTTCTTATTTTCTGTTTTGTTATTATTTAATACATCCACTAAACTTCACTACTTACTCTCTTTATAAATGTTATTTTCTGGTACATTTTGTGTACACTTCTTAATATTTCTAGGTAACTATTAATGGTAACAGTTGGCTCATCAACTATTTCGATCCACAGATCCACTGTCTTCTGGCTCAGTGATGCGTGACCAGGTTAGAAGGCATCGTCGATGGTGTTGCCATGCTAATTCCGATTGCAATTGCTATTGGCTAAGCCAGTTTCAGTTGCGTCACGCCATGCAGAATTTTATTGTCTTGCGGGCAGAATTTAAAATATTAATTACAATTAATTGCTGTCGCTAGAAGCAGACCACGCTTCATTTGCCTAATGGCTTGCTGGGTTGCAAGTGGCGAACCGTCGGAATAGCGACCACCACCCGCTATTCATCTTAATTATGTTGTTTAACAGCTAGTTCAATCAATTGAACATGATTTAGCCATGTTTATATATTCAATCGCAATGAAAACACAAACGACTGCAGAGGAAACACCTGCCCACGCGAATAATTTTCTGCAGATGCAAATGTTCTTTTCCTGCCCATAAGCGTAAATTACAGCAATTAAATAAAAGCTGAAATCGACAAGGCAATTTATCGAAAAATATCTTTGCGGTCTTGCATCCAGGCTCGATTTGCATGCATATATGCAAACACATCGAAAGGCAACAAGTAAAGACAACAAACGAAGGAGGTTCTGTCCAGGTTACTCCCACTTGAGATAATTTTTTGCAGCCTGCATTGTTAGACATTCTCTGCATCTACGAACCTAAAAATCAACTATGAAGTGCAAAAACAAAGAATTCTGGGCGGCTCTGCAATGTTTCTTTTGTAACTGTTTTGCGGAAAGACAGTTTGACATTGGAACGTGCTAAACAAACAATGAGTAAGCTCGAAAAGGCCATCACTGAAAATTATTTTTGACCGAATCTCTGGAAAAATAAATATTTATTTTGTTTGTTACCATTTTTAACGCCTAAATTCACCGCAAAAAAAAAATCTAAAGCAATTGCTTTACATAACTTTGCATGTTTTTATTAGAGCAGTTGAAGAATAAAGGCTTAGTTAGCTTTTTATTATTTGTTGATTGGATTTCCTACCACATAAATTTGATGTGCTAAATGGCGCTTAAAGAAATATGTGTACTTCATAAAATACACTCAAGTCTTGCCGCTTAGTATTAGAAATGCATTTAGATAAATTGATTCTGATTGCATAATACATGTTATTACCAGGTAATTAGTTAATTTTCGCCCAGATAGCAATCAGAATTTATATGCCCGACACCCCAGCGCGTAGAGCTCAGATGGAAAGCCAAGACAATAATTACGCTCGCAAATGGAGCTGGATTGGGTTGGAACTGGCTGAAGGTGGGAGCCTCGACAATTCACAAATGTGTGGATTGCACTTGAGCTAGTCAGCCAGTCGGAAAGTCAGCTAGTCAGCTAGTCGGATAGTCAGAAAGTCAGCCAGCCCACAGCTGTCGACAGTGGGCCGAGCTAATAAAATGAAAACAAAAGTGGCACCGGGAATATAATTTATAATGTTGCGCATACTGAAAAAATGCAAAAAACACGCCCCAAAACGATCGCCCGCCCGCGCAAAACTCGCATGCGAGTTCAAAAGAGCAGTTTGCATTTGGTTTATTCAAATTAAATTGGCGGCAGGCGAAGGCAAACAAATTAAGTTGCCGATACGGTTAAAAGAATATGGAGTGTGCTGCCAGTGGTATAGAGCCACCCGCTCTCCCGATGGCGCTTATCGAATGCAAATAATCGAATTCAGTCAGAGTGCAAGCACTCATTATATTACAGCGGACCACGGAGGCTCGATAATGCACTTGGGGAAAAAACTGCCCAAAAATTACCAAAAACTTCCAAATCACGAAGGCAATCCATTATGCAATGCACAGTCATAAAAAAGAAAATTTAAAAATAACATGAAAAAGGTTTAATTCAATGCAAACAGTATTTAAAGAAATACTTAGCTACCCTATTTAAGATGCAGGTTAGAAGCTTTTACAAGTTTAAAGAACTCTTTTGCTCTAATAATATTTAAAACATTTAAAAGGTTATTAACCAATTTAATTTAAGACTTAAGATTCAATGACAGAATTTTAACACAATAATTTGATTACTAGATAGAAGACTTGCTATTTAAATGACTATTTTTCCGAGTGCCATTGTGAGTGCAACATCTAGATTAGCGGACTGCAAAGAAATGCTGCAACATGTGGCAACAGCAATAGCAGCAGCAGCGTCAGTGGCCAAAAGTGGATTGAAAAGCCATTTTTCTGTCTTTTGTTTTCCGCTGGCTTCTTTGGGCCGTGCTCTTGTTTTTATTTTTAATTTGCAAACTTTTCGTTTCGTTTTCCGATGCAGTTCAATGATTAAAGAGGCAAACGCCCAGAAATTGGCCAGCTCACATTTCGTTATGGCCCCCGTTGGGGCATGTTGCAAGCGGTGGGTAAGAATTTTTTAATTTGATCGCCGACCAGCTTTGAGGCGGGTCTCTTGGGCGTTTTTTGAAAGGCACCGAGCGATAAGATCGCTCTAATCCCGTGGCCAAATAATGAGTGCTAATTGTTGACAGTGCGGAAGCTAAAGAGGTGGTCCCCCCAAAAACTATATATAAAAGCCATCAATTGGCAAGTTAACAGCCAAACCGGCAATTAAATCACGTTGAAAGCAAGGTCATGGCAGCTGCTTTTCGCCGTGACAAACGCAGCGAAGAAAACGCACGAGCAACATGTTGCTAGTGCAACAGCAACAGCAACAGCAACTAGCAACTAGCAACCAGTAAGCAGCAACTGGCAACCAGCAACATGCTGCACTGCTCTCCTACCGCTGCGATTGATACATATTCTTCGGCTGCGGCTTCGATAGCCACTTCGGCTTTGGCTAAAACCCGCTTCGAGGCCCGATTAAAGTGGTAATTCGATTACTCTGGTACCGCATTGTTCTGCTCTTGCTCTCGTTGGCTTTGTTTTATGGCCGATATTGCTGGTGTTTTGTTGTTGCTGTTGCTGGTGTTGCTGGTGTTTTGCTGCCGCTTTGTTGCTGTTTTACTGCTGTTACTGTTGTTACCAATGTTGCGCCTGCGCCGGCGTCTCAGCCCGAGTCTCCCGAGGCTGCGGTGTCTCTGCTCCCCAGTCTCCAGCTGAAATCGCCAGTCTCGGGCGGTATATATTAGGGCCGCCAGCCAGCAGTCAGCACAGTTCGTTAACAGTCCTAGTCGAGTTCTAGGAGGTTCAACCAGCGTCCAGCGTCCAGCGTCCAGCGACCAGTGCCTGTGTCGAGTCGTGTGTAGTTAGTTTCCCGCTCATCCCCACCCAGTGTGTCCCTGCCACTCCTTTCTCGAAGCTTAATCGTGTGATCTAAGTAACAATGAAGCCATTCGTAAGTACTCGCCAGAAGATCGGGAGGATAACGCCGAGCAAAAGGATTATTCATTGAACAAGAAACAGTGACTGAGTGTAGATAATCTCAAGGCTTAAAGGATTACTGGGTTAGGTTTTTAGTGTTTGATTTTTGTGGTGTTACATAGCGGTTAAAAGTTAAATTCAGATTAATGATTTTTATACCCAAGTTTATTTGGGTCAACAGTTTTAACGATCTTGTAGTTTAGACTCCCAAATAAATGTTAATACTTTATTTTTTACTCGAATAAATGTGGCTTAACAGATTAGGAAGTGTAAGATTCTATCATTTAATAGTTTTCTTAATTAATAAAAATTAAAATAATTTTCTTTCTAACTAAATGTTTGATGCTGACCTTAATGATTTACAATTTAATTAGAGAGCAGAAAAAGATTGTTATTAATAAGTCTTAGTAAAACAATTCTCCTTATTTTGAGCAGCAAGATCAACTTTGTCAGTGACATGACATCAAACATGAATGCATTCTTGGCATTCTGTTCAACTGGCGTGTCTCAATTATTTTCTAATTAAGCTTCTATCACTTCTGCGAATTCAATTCGATTCATTTAAATTCCGCTTCCGTTCAAATTAAACGCCGCCTGTCCTACAACCGATGTGCATAAATCCTTCAGTTCCATCCGAGAGTCAATTACGCTGGCCCGTCAGCTAAGCAAACCACCCAGAAAACCATCAGCTGCCATCGAACACTGTGTGCGAAATCCCGTTGATAAGCCGTTGACATGTTGCATGTCGGACAGTTTATTTAACCGTTTTTCCACCGCCATCTGCCCCGCTGCCCCACTGCACCACTCACCTGCTGACACATAATGTGGTACATACATAATAGCACCGCATGCGGTAATATCTGCGAATCGGCCGAACGAGTATCTCGAATCGAATCAAACGGTTGCGCTTCGCAGCGCTGGAAAAGCGAATCCATCGCTGGAAAGGCGAATCCAGAGGAAAAGCGGAGAGATGGGCGTGTGTTTTGGTGATTCAGTTTTTGTGGGCCAAAGAAAAGCGAGAGGAAAACGTTGGCGCAAGCGCAAGAAAAGCAAAGCCTGTAATTAGGTTAGCAGAGGCGGCTTATAAGCTCCCACTGAGTGACACCTGCGATTAAAGATTTTGGGCGGTGGCCACCGCAAGAGTAATTACTGTACAGTGGCATAATCCCACAACTCACCTTTTCTTCACTGCAAAAAAAGTGAACGACAAAGTATAAACACACCTTTGCCATCTGATATACGTATTTGAAAATGTATCTTATTGCATGCAACTATTTAAAGAAGCATGTTTTTTTCTGAGGTTTTACTGCACTATTTCACAAGATATTATAAAAATTAAGTACAATTAAATGCCTTGAAGCTGATTTCCTTTCATGTTAGGCGCGGTTTTAATTACTTTGAGTTAAGCTAACGGAAAAATTTTATCGGCAATAACATTTAAAGCGAACATGAATTCAAATAAATATTTGATTTTATATTTTATATTTATACAACAAACTGAATTTCGTGATCAGAAGTACTTAGCAACGTTTAGTTTAGCTTGAAGATTAATTGTAATTAAAGCCATAAATTCAAACAACTTTTAAGTAAAGCGATTGTAGAAATATTACACAATGAATTCGATTTAAATTTATGCATCACTTTCAAACATTATACAATCTTTTCAAATCTTTTTGTTCTGTATGTTATGTTTCTTTGTGTTTTTATATTAAGTGGAATTATACCAAAATATATTTCTTTCTCTGCTCAGTTTATTGCCGCAGCTCTGCTGGTCTCGACGGTGTCCGCCGGGTGGCACGGAGCCGTCTCCACACAGTACCAGCACCTGGACCCGCACAGCCACACCTACTCGTACGGATACGCCGACCCCAACTCACAGAAGCACGAGACGCGCGGTCACGATGGCACCACGCACGGCTCCTACTCCTACGTCGATGGCCATGGCCACGTGCAGTCGGTGTCCTACACCGCTGATCCGCACCATGGCTTCAATGCCGTGGGCACCAACCTGCCACAGGCTCCCCACGCCCACGCCGCCCCCGTCTACGCTGCCGCCCACTCGCATGGCGCCTATGTTCCCTACGCCCATGCCCACGGACCCATCCACATCCCGGTGCTGACCCACGGAGGAGTGCCAGTCGATACTCCCGAGGTGCAGCATGCCAAGGCCGCCCATGCCGCCGCCCACGCAGCTGCCGCCCACAACGCCGGTGGTCACCACCTGTACAAGCGATCGATCTACGGAGGGGGTTGGGGATACGGACAGGCCGCCCATGTGCCGCTGACCCACGGTGGAGTGCCCGTTGACACGCCCGATGTGCAGGCCGCCAAGGCCGAGCATTATGCCGCCCACGCCAAGGCCTTGGGTCATGTGGCCCACGCCCATGGAGCCCCAGTTGAGACACCGGAAGTGCAGCACGCCAAGGCCGCCCACTTTGCCGCTCATGCCGCCGCCCGCACCGGACACCCCGTCGCCCCGATCAGCCACGGTGGCTACCACGTGCCCGTGATCCACAACGGAGTGCCCGTTGATACGCCCGAGGTGCAGCACGCCAAGGCCGCCCACTATGCCGCCCTCTCGCAGGCCTCCGCTCACGGAGGAGCCTCCCACGGATCCTGGGACGATGGTCGCTACGACGGCCGCTGGGAGTCGGGCAGCAGCAGCAGCCATAGCAGCAGCCACATTGGATACGCCACTGGATACGCGCACAAGGGACCCATCCACATCCCGGTAATCCACAACGGAGTGCCCGTGGAGCCCGCCGAGGTGCAGCATGCCCGTGCCGCGCATCTGAGCGCCGTGGCTGCCGCCGGACACGGAACTCCGGTCAGTCATGGTGGCTACTACGGTGGCAATGGACACGAGGACGATGGACAGTACCACGCGCACTACGACCACTACTAAGGTGGATTAGGTGGACTTGGATCCCATGAGAAGAGGACCACTCCATTCCGATCGACGACGAGCATCTCTACGTAATCACTCTAACCGACTACCGAAGCCAACGTTGCGTATGCGTAATAATGCCAGCGTGACCTTACAGCTGCCCTCCCATCTGTCCAATCTATCTGTATCTCTGTATCTGTATCTGTACTATATATCTGTTTATCTGTCCCATCACTGTAACTATCCTTCACTATCTGAGAAACACACACACACGCACAAGCCACCGAACACACGGAAAACTGAAAGCGACTGCACACGGGAGATTGAAGTTGGCCCGAAGGACAGCTTCCTTGCCCGCTGGGTTTCGATTTGGATTTACATCAAGTCACAGCACACACATACCCAACTACATCTCTATATCCAAGCCTTTCTCCTTCTTTTTCCTCCTGTTTTTCCATTCTGTCAATCGATTGAGAAACGCTGTACGAGTATGTTGTAAATAACTGTTGTAATCTTTATGTATCTGACCAGATATAAATCTATATTTTATATGAAACTGCAAACAGACAAATAAACTGCAAAAATGTATTTGATCACATTTTCGAGTGTTTGGAAGTGGGAGTGGTACTTTTTGGGGTATAAGAATTACTTTTATTTCCACTATAAATTTACTTTTAATGAAAACGTAAAATGGTAAATATATAAAAAGAATTAAACAAGTTATTCAATGCAGGCGTGTCATTTGTAATTTACTAAATTACAGCGAAAACAGGATAAAAAACATTTTAAAAGTTTCTAAGCTTACTTAGTTTTAACATAAACACTTTAATAAATTTTAAACAGAATTCAAATCATTCAAAAAACAGGTGAATTTTAATTGTACATCAAAATAAAAACATGGTATTAACATTTATTATTTGATGAGATTCATAATATTGAATTAAACTTCAATTCTAGGAAATTTTTTGTCAGAGAAATTTAAACTTCATGTCATAATAAACCCACAATGTTCTGATGAAAAAATACATTTTAATAAAATTCCCAGCTTTGTATATGTTTACGAGAACATTTCTTTAATTAAAGGTTACTAAATGCCCTGAGTATATTTAATTTAAATATTTATTTTTAAATGTTGTTCATTAAAAAATATCGTAGATGCCCGTCCCATTGTTTGTTTTACTAACAAATGTATTGACTGCACTTTGTGCATGCATAAGTTTAATTTGTCCACCCGCATTCGTTTTATCTTTAAACCGCTTTTCTATGCTGCTCCTTTGTTTTGTCATATTAATTAAAATGGCATCCTGTTATGAGGTTCGTCGGTGTCTGCGGGAAGTTCCATTTCCTTTGGACTCCGGCGCATATTTCCCACTCACAGGTCACAGGTCAACTGTGGCACCACCCGGGACAAAGCTCCTGAGCCACCAGCCTCGTTTTGAAACCACAGTGACTGCATTGAAAGGAACATAAATATTTGCAATGCAACGATTGAAATTTGCATACCCACACATGTACCTCCCTCTGAGTGTGTGAGCTGTGTGGAAATGCCGCCAGTGGGGGGCAGTGGGTGGTGTGCTTCGGGGGCGTGGCAACACACCCATCAGAGGATTGCTGCATGTGGCACGACACTGAGAGCGAACAAACAATCAATCAATGCGGTATGAGTCTTGTATTTTTTGCCCGGCCGCCTGCAAAATTGTGTGTCTTGTGCCGGGGAATGTGTCACTCACTCGACTTCGGGTGACTCGAACTATTCGCATACCGAAGCTGGGCAAACAATTTGAGCAAATAGATTGCCGGCATTTGTCAAGTCGGAATTGAATGTGCACCCCTCCGCTGCCCTTCGAAGGATATAAAATGCCTCTGGGCCATAAATTCAAGTGCAACCTTTGGGCCCAATCGGCGACCTTGAGCCTCTTGGTTTGGGGGCCCTGTTTATTAAGTTGCCAGGCCACGACAGCTAATTAAAAATTAACAACCCGCCGGCCGGCACGCAAAGGTCACTGGGCGGACGAAAGTGGGTGGCAGCGATTTTCCATTTACCATTTTCCACTTTCCGTTTTCCATTTGCCACGCATAAACAAGAAGGCTTGGCCTGGCCCGCTCGACTTATCGTAAATTTCGGGATGGGATTGGGGGATGGGTCGCTTGCCATTTAATTAAGCATGCATTGGCATTTCGATTTACGACCAATTGTCGGCTGGAAGTGGCAATAAGTGAAATCGCTTTTAAAATTACTCGACCTTCGGGACAGGTGGGGCTCGGACATTAGGCCACTGCGATCCGGTTACTGACCCGCCGGTTAATTTAATTACACGCTGGCCGGCCAGCACATAAAAGCCGAAATTGTTCGAATTGCTCGCCGCCCCATGCGATTGTTTGTCAGCGGTTCAGAATATTTGGCACCCAACGGAAAACGGTAGCCCCACCAATCGAGCCCCCTTTTCGGACCACAAGTGTTGGGGCGTGGTCGATTCCAGCCAAAAGTGAATGTGCAACAACTCTAGCTCTAGCTTTAGCTTTAGCTATAGTTGTAGCTCTGGCCAAACTAATTTTGGGCAAATAATATTATTGCAAGTGCCGGCGTTGATTTGACTCACTTCTCATTCCGTGCTTTCAAAAATTTCATTCGGATTGAGGAATTACATTTGCATGCCCACCAGTTGGTTAACCAATTGAGGCCCACTGCGGTTTTGGCCAGAACTGTTGTGGCCAGTCCACTCAGCCGTCGTCTGGCATTTGGCCCTGCGCCCAGGGCCCGGATTTCACAGCCACACAGAGCCAAAGCCGTTGGGTAAACAAACTCTGAGCCAACACAATCCATAAGCGATTTCGGGCCCTGCCATTCTGACGCTTTTCCGCTCTTGTCTCAATTTTGGTTTATTTTGCTTTATTTTACGGTGGGCGTTGCATGAGGTGTATTTTGCATATCTTTGGTCAAATGGCTTTTAACTTTTGCATCAGTTTAATTTATGGTTGAGGCGTTAATTTATGGCCTAATTGATCTGATTTGAATACATGTTGCAATAGCAGGAGTGCCGAAATATATTGGTAATTGTTGTAAAGAAACAAATTGCTGCCCGGATGGGAAAGGTGCCATACATTATTAATATTCTAAAGGAAAGGAAAAAAAGGGCACAAATAATTCTTAAGTGTTTATACAATTTTATGAATTTTTAAAGCGTAGGAAAAGTTAAGAAACTGACAAGTAATAAATCTGTTTATTCGTTTGTTATATTTATTGACTTTCTCTGATTTCTGTTTTAATGTTTTAAATAAATTGATAATGTTAGCTACTACCTAATCCGATCATTTGGACCCGAAAGCTAGAATTTACAAATCGAAAAGCCCAGGTCTTAATAAATATGTAATAAAACGTAGAAGTTTTAGAGATTTGTTTGATTATAAAATTTCAAATTCATATTTGTAAAAATTGAAAATTTTCCTCACTTTTTCTGAATAAACTTTCCACGAATGTAGAGTTCATTTAACATTAAAACTTAAAAACTTTGTAGCAGGTTTGTGAGAGTTTAACCCAATTTCTAAGCAATCCACTTTAATCCGCGAAAAGGGGCATCGAGGATAAGTGCTTGCCGATACTTTGTCACATCTGCGATAAAGAACTCATCCACTTTGTGAGTCGTTTGGAAGACATCTCCGCAAATACTGCAGGCACACACGGCAGAGCCAGAATCATTGTTGCAAGGCAGATAGTGCAGCGCTGGAAATTCGATTTTCAGCAATTCGCGCAATTTGTGCAACAAAGTAAGCCACACGAAAGCGGGAAAAACGAAGTAATAAGGAGCACTTTGCTCCGACGGAGATGAGATGAGGAAAGTGTGTGTGTGGAAAACTGAATTCGAACTGAAGGCAGCAAAATCAGCTGAGTGGAAAGCGTTTGAAAGTGGTAAGCTCGCTTTCCTCAGGCTTTGACCTTTTCAACCCACACACGACACAATGTAAATGGTGTATCAATTCGACATATGTACTTAGTACCGAAATACACTTTGTGCGTTTTCCACAAACTGATTGGCATGCAATTAGCATTTTTCCCTGGAAAAACGACTACGGAAAAGCATATGTAAATGGCACTGCCTACTTTTGGGCATAATTTATGCGCTTCTAAGCCTGACATTTGAAAGCTGCTGTCGGAGCTTTTGTACAACACGGCTTCTAATTGGATGCCGATGTTGTTTTATTCTGTATTCAGTTTAAATATAGAACACTCTGGATAAAAGCCTGACCCATTTCCATTAGGCAAACATATTAAGGGAGTTCGCTTATCTGGCAAACAGTTGACCTTTCCCTACCATACGAGTATGCTAATCAATAAAAAGGCTTGGTAACATATAGGGTAATCGAATTTTAATATTCGCTTGCTTTAGCTTAGGGTAAAAGTGAGCTCCAAAAACATTGACTAGTTTTAAAACTTACTTAGAGGGCTAACAAAATGGGGAAGGGGTAATTGGCAAAACGGTGGACATCTACACAAAGCGACTGTAAATAAAAATTGATATGGATAGGATTATATTTAGATACCATATATGGTACTTTTACTCACATCATATTCAACTGGTTTCTTGAACTTGCCACACGGGAGCGGGAACCAATACGGCTGGGTTGGAAATCGCAGCTGGTGGCGGTTGGGGAGCAGCTCCTCCAGCGCCTCCTCCACCTCCCGCTCCATTACGTGCTCCCTTGCCGCCCTTTCCACCCTTTCCGCCCTTCGAACCATCCGGACCGTCGGGTCCATCAGCTCCATCGGCTCCATCCTCACCATCGGGTTGAGGTCCCGCCGGACTCGGTGCTCCAGGTTGGCCACTATCGCCACTCTGACCTGAAGTGAGTGTTCCTCCGCCGCCACCACCTCCGCCACCGCCTCCGCCGCCGGCACTGCCACCACCTCCAGCTCCGCCTGCTCCTCCCGCTCCGCCGAGGACACCTCCAGCCTGTCCCGCCTTTCCGGCCTCGCCTGCTCCTCCAGCAACTCCAGGTTCTGCCGGAGCTGCTGGAGCAGCCGGAGCAGCTGGTGCAGGTTGGGCATCCACAGATCCTGCGGCGTCGGAGCTCAGCGCAGCTTCAGAACCACTTCCATCGCTACTGACACTGCCACTGCCATCCTGGCTCAACTGAGGCTCGGTGTACTCTCCCTCCAGTCCAGGTTGTGGTTTCCACAAGCCATCTTCACCGCTTGCAGGCGGCTTGTATAAGCCATCATCCTCTGGTGGTGGCGGTGGAGGTGGTTGCACCAGCAAGACAACAGGTCCAGGAGGAGATAGTAAAAGGGTCCCAGATGAAATCACTGGCAAGGGCACCACATGAGCCGTGGTCTTCTCCCAGTAAGTCAAGGCCAAAATGCTTAGTAAAAGAAACTGGAAAATAAATGAAGCATTAATTACAGTGTCTATGATTCTCTTAAGGTTTTACTTACATTTGGTACTATAAATAAAAATACAACATTAAATATAACACTTTTATCAGGATTTTTGAACTTATTTTTAAGTGAAGGAAATATGTTTTTTTTTATGCGATAGCTGAATTTATTTTTTTGCAAGAACTATTACCAGTTTTAGTAATACTTCTTAAGATCTTCTTTCTTTTTTAAAAAAAAAACATCAGCTAATTTATTTAATCATGGTATTTTTGTGTGAGCAAAACATATTATCGCTTTAGGACAATATTTCTGTTTTTAGGAGATGCACCAAACTTTTAAATATTTACAGAAATGTCTTTCTTTTTCAATTGGGTTCAAATTCATAGCTTTTTAATTACATTTTTCTAGAATGTTTCTTAATCGACTCACCACTGTGGCACGCATCTTAGCGAACTGTATACCGATCCCTTTGAGTCCGTGCTCGACTGATTCCACGGCGGGACTGACTCGGTTGGCAATGCCCTAGGCCGGCTTTTATATGGCGAGTACGGATCGCCGGCGGATCGAGTGCCGATATAAATTGCGAGCAGCGGCATTGTCTATACTTGGAAGCTGCTGCCACTTTGCATGGCACCTGCATAAATCAAGTGCTACCAACGCTAATTGCAGCAACAACAATTACGAGAGAAAACGATCTTGTTAATGTGTGTAATGTGCACCATAACTCCGAGCAGCCGTTCAAAAAGACGCAGTTGGAATTACACCTGAACTTGGCCTTTTGATTGATATCAGCCAGTCTTCGGAACGTTGGCTGTCCTACAAGAAGCCGTATTTGGAGTTGACAAGAACCTCTTGAGTGATTTCTTGTCAATCAGGGTTTCCCTTTTCTAAGTCATGACTGACAGGTCATGGGTATAAACGTTGTAATACCCTTCAAATCATCGGAAAAGCATTAAATGGTTCGTGTGTTCATTTGTAGTTAGATTATTAATAGTTATGTAATTTATAGTTATGTAACTACTTTTATCATTAATATAAATTACAAATCAAAGTCGTTCGTAAAACTTATAAAGCACCATTTACAGAGCATGAGCTGAAATAAAGTGAAGTGGAGCAACGTAGGGGAGGAATGCAATTATTGAAAATTGATGAGGTAAATCATTCTTTTGTGAATATTAAATAGTTCTTAGCAAGGGTTCTTTCAATATTCATATTGTATATTTTATTGGTTTTGCTAATGAAAAATATTGGCTAACCTTCGCCTTTTTTTTTGTACTCACCCTAATTTTAATTAGACAAAATTTTTGGAAAACCCTTTAAATGGTGTATAACTCGAATAAATAAGTTAAATTTAATATGCTATATTAATATCTGATTTGTATAATATTACCATAAATACTTTTAAGTTTTCTTACAAAGTTTTAACATAAAATGACAGATAGAGAGAATGTTTACTTTTTCAATTTCTATTTCTATTATTAGTTACATTGTTATTTCTGTTACAGCAACCAACTTAACCGAAGCTCTCCCACTGTAACCAGCATCTGGTTGAGATTCTTGAAATTTCTTACTGCTTAATCCGCTAATAAATAATTAAAATGGCTTTTTAAACGCAGCGAGTGCCGGCTAGCTGTTTCGCCGCAGATTAGATAAAACGCCATTCATGGCTCTGGGGCGTCAGTTGGCGATACGAGATTCTCTGGGCGGCTGACCATTGTTGACCAGTGGCCAAGTGGGCTCCGAGTTGGCGTTGACTCAATAGCCCGGCTCGATTGCATGCGACATGGCTGGTCCACGTATGTATTCCCCAACCGGTTTCCACTGTCGACGCGTTGAAATGTGTAGCACAGTGCTGGGGAAAATTAAATGCCACGCCAAATAAAGTGGAGCCGAGCAGCAGAGAGCTCCTTGTGGCTGCTCGGGCGCCACATAAATGATGAGCAACTATTAAACTCTGTGCAGCTTCAACTAAATCAATTAAGCCAACAAGCTAGAAACAACAACGGCAACAGCCAAACGGCCCAGAAGGAGCTGCGCCAGCAGGCAGCAAAACAAAGTAATGGCAACGAGGCCATTATCATCATCGTCCTGTGACGCAGCCTCGTCCTTTTTCCCCCTCCCCTCTCCAGCCTCGTCATCGTTAGCATTTAGCAACACAAGCAACAACATTACTCACAGGAGCCTTTGAGGAGGACCAGAATGGAGCGGAGGTAATGGAGTCGTCTAGCTGGAGGTCGGGGCACTTTGTTTGCCCATCCGTGCGTTTCCCAGCTGAGATAGCGCCGCTGCGTGTTTGAAGTGGGTAGTGCTACACGTGGGTGGTGCTACACTCATCAAAAAATTAGCCACACCATTTGCAAGGTGTCCATATTTTATCGGCATTAGCGGCCAGCCATAGGTTTTAGAAAAACGGAAGCTAAAAAAATGTAATGGTGTGATGCTCAACGCTTTCAGTAATTTCGTAATTTATAATTTATTAACTTAGACATTTCTCATACCTTTAACTGCAAAGCTGAGTTTTTATTTTTTATCTATAACTTTTAGGGGGAGTACTTTTACAAACAATAATTTATTTATTTTTGAAAATGTTGTTCTTAATGAAATAAACTATTTGTTTATCAGATTTATCACTTTTTAAAGAACGGTAATGGTTTTATAGAACTAGTAACTTTGAATTATAAGATTAAGAGTTTTTTTTTTTTTTTTTTTTTATTTTATATTTTTTTTTTTTAAGAAAACACATTTTATTTAGTTTGAATCCACAGATGAATATATATTTTTTGATAAGTGTAATTCCTTGGAGAAAGTTTCTGCCAATTAGCCCAAGGAAACTTTGGAACGCGACGAGCACGTGGAATTATGCCAGCAGTGTTGACTGAGATTCCTTTTGCTGGCGCGGCGAAAATTCAATGTCCACATGTCGATTAATCAAGGCGACGACGCACCGCAGATGCAGACAATGCGCCCGAATGTGTTGCCAATAAACGCGATGGACAACCGTCAACCGTCAACCGTCAACCGTCAGCCATCGGAGATCCATCCATCTAGTGGGCCACGCCTGGGGCAGCATATAAATAGTTTCTTGCTATCCCGGTGGCTTCGAGGCTCCTCCATTTGTTCTGCCGCCTGACAGACAAGTCAAGTCAAGTTGGCCGGGACAGCCATTTGTATCCCGCTCCCACGACGGAGTTTGTTTGTGCGGTTTCAGGAGGGGAGCAAGAAAAGGACGAGAAAGGACGAAAAAAGGTTTCTCCCTACGTGCCCGGAATGATGGCGATGCGGGGTGACCTCACCGGGGGATGGAGATCGAAAACAGTTTACAGAAATGATTACCACTGGGCGAATGCGTAATGGGCAATGGGGCGTATGTGCGATGTGCGATGCGAGAAGTTGTACGAGTGCAGGCGCTCTGAAGTGTGAAAAGCAGGGCCGACAACTGAATTAAATGGCGGCAAACTTTCATATTTAATATATGTGGCCAGCGCCTTTACGAGCCAAATTCATTGGAAAAACAATTTGGGCCCGCCATTAAACTTAAGCGAGGGTTCCGAATTATTGAATATATTAAAAAGTTCGTGGAAATATGAAATTCGATAAAGGATATTGGATTACGTTAGACAATCCGGCGCTTCTGACAGCCCCATTTGGTTTGGGTTTGGTCAGAATGATTAATGGGGGAGCTCAACGGGAGGAACACACCGCAATGCCTTTACACCTGTCACAACGTGCTGCTCCTGACCAGAAACACTCGGCCAAATCATCAATAATAATTTAACCACAGATAGATAGCGGGACAAAGACCACATTAAATGCACGATAAATCAATGGATTGTTATTAAAGTCGCCCCCTGCAATGCGACCCCTCCTTTTTTTCGTGTGTCGAAGTGGGCGTGGCAGCTGGCCGTCAAGCCACAAGCACTCGCTGCCCGATAATAACTCATAAATGTGCCGCAACGGAATAAAGTGTATATGTGAGAAAGAGACGAAAGAGCAAGTGTCCAAAGAGCTTACAGCGGAGCGTGGCCAAAACGGTTGGCTTTAACACAAGTTGCAATATTTTTATTATTTTTATTGAGCGCCGCAAATTGGCCCATTGTTGGGACAGCGTGGTCAGCTTTTATGGCCATATCATAAAGGCATTTCGCCTTTGTTTTGTAGTTTTTGATTTGATTGCAATTTTTGTGAGCCCGATGTGTTTTTCCCTGATTTCGGTTTTTGCCCTCTTCGCTTCCATAGGCCCGTCGCGTTTATTGGTTTTCACGCCATGGCTAATGACCAAAACATTTACGAGCGCAGACGGCGCCTCGGGGTTCCAGCTAACCAGAAGCGGAAAAAAACAGTCGTAACACGCCGGGAGTCTCACTTGGCCCGGTTCGTTGGGTTTGGCTATAACCTTGCAGGGGGTGTTAAAATCGGACGTGAAGTTGGGTAGACCACCAGAAAGATTTATTTCAAGAGGTTATAGCTTATTAATTTGTTGGCTTAAAATTGCAAAGAAGAATAGAGAAGCTTTTCCAACCACATAAATGAATAGCCAATAGTATGAACTTTATTTACTTCTAAAAAAAAAGGTTAAAGATAAAAGTTTTGTTGCTTTGACTTAATCCGCTTTCTTTTTTATATAAATACGCTTAGCTTGGGGGTTTAAATAAGAAACCTAAACCTTTTTCCTTCAAAAACAACTAAGCAAAGTCTTTAATAATCGTACTTTATACATATATTTTTAAAACGTTCTTGTTAAAACTCCTAAAGGGTATACAAACCAAGACTCCTTTAATGTTTCCTCCACTTTTGGTTCGACTTTAAGAAACAGCAATTTAGGATTTTGGGAGTGCTAAGCCCGGGATCTCGATTGAAAGCCTTCGAATATGCCATAAATACTGCAGGCCAACATTAAGCGATTTATCGCCTGCCTGCCGCCAGTTGGTCTGACATCAATTTGCTCCAGTTTATTCGCCTGATCCCTTATCAGCCAGAAATTCCATTCTTCAGTGTACAATTTACGCATAGACCATTGACGCCAAAGGGGAGAAAAGGCGGTGGGGAAGTTTTCATAAATTGAGTTGGAAACAGACAGCAGAGTGGCGGGGGAAATCTGTTGGCCAAGTTTGGAGGGGCACTTTGGGGCGGAACTACTTGGTCCTGCCATGTCGTGTAATTGGTGTTAACAGCGAGGATTTCAAGTACATCTGCCACAATCCTAGAGCTGCACCAGAACCAAAGTCATTTTTGCAGACCGCCGATGAAACTGACAGGCGGCGGAAAAAGCAAACGGAAAACCAAGGACTGTCTTGTCGCAGTCCTTGATAATTGAATGTATTGTCCTCGGAGAAGGCTGTGTATCCTGTCTATTCATAGAGCACAAGACGCCCATTTGCATAAATGTCTGCCGCGACACGAGGCAGACATCGGGGAAACCAGACCATTTTATCTGTTTGCTCGACTCATGGGGACTCACCATTTGTGAACACTGCAGATTATTATTGGTTGTGCTCCCCTGGCAAGAAAGCAAGAAAACCGATGACGCAAGTCCCAGT